AACCAAAAAGAATAGGCTAAAAATTAAATCTACCAATGTCATGACTCAGATTCCATCTGACCCATTCAGTACCCTGTAGGTTAAAAAACTGATCAAGAAATCCTGGAGAAACTGCAGATAACTAACATTGAGTTGCATTTTTGCAATCCCCCATCAAATGCATGGAATTTTCCGGTACTTCACAGTTCATAGGGCAGTCCAATTTATTCCTCCAACCCTCTTCTAACTTTTAGGTCCTTCGTGTGCACTCTCCCATGGGAAAACAGCCACATGAAATATTTAATTTTTTTGGGGGCAAGCTAAGAGTTTCTAAGTGTTCTCCTCAACATGATTATTACCTCCAAAAAGAAAATTATATGCAGATTTGACAGTAAGACTCCCATCCGAAAATGGTGTCTTGATTAAATTTATCCTCCCCTCTTTTCTCACGAGTGGGTGTGCACAAGTCAAGCGGTGAACCACATGATTAATTGATTTTCCAGCCAAAAACTAATTAAGCTTCGTTGTAGCCCATTCACCCCATTCATTCACAAAATTACAAACTTTCTCTTGCTGTAAAATTCGGTCTTCACGGCCGGGGACTAAATCAATAATGGACATATTTAGTTCGGACCAGCCAGTTCGCAAACCAGAAAGAAGTTTCCTTCCCATTTCCCACCTCCTTTCCAAAGCCTTCCACGAATCTGTCCCAAACACTGCAGATGCCTCTCCAAGTAGCTCTAAGTGTCTAGCCGCATCATGACTACATTTATATAATATAGGGGAGACTGGTGAGTCGGTTCCACGAGGAAAGTGTAAATTAAAGCCGATTAATTTAACTTAAGATTTTCTGTTTTGAAAAAATTAATTTAATTAGAGTTGGATATATAAACCGTCACGAAAAAAGACAGTATGATAAATAAAGACCATGAAAGGATATTAATATAAAAACAAGTGCCTATTTACAATCAAAATTTCAGAACTGAGAAATTAAACTTTGATATAATCTTTTGGGAGCCTCAATTGTCACTGTAACCAAGAAAAAAAAAATTGAAGTTGAAGGATTTGGTTGCCTGGGCCAAGCAAAAGGCAGGGAGAAAAGAATTGCCATGTATTTAAGTTAGCGCGTTGAAATTGTTACATTTATAAACCAGAGTTATGGTGGGACATATTCTGCTATCGAAAGACGCTCTTAATCTTCTAAAACTAAGAGATGTGAATTTTATAAAGTTTTGTTTTTTTAAATATTTTTCATTATTTTATTATTTTTTATAAAATATAAAATATTATCTTCATTACTTTAAAACGCAAACTTCTATGTTTATAGATCTCAAGTTCAACGAGTTAAAATCAAATTCTTTAACTCTATTTATAAATTATTTTCAATATCTTTTATTGAAATAAAAAAATAAAACTTATTAACTTGGTTTAAAATTTAATAAGTTTTTAATTTTTTTAATTGAACATACACACTTTAATAATATATTTTCTTTCACTAAACTTTAGTAGAGGGTAAAAATTAAATTTGTGATAAAAATTTAGTTATAAATAGGATAAAAAAATATTTTTTATTTACCTTATAAGTAAGACTAGGGTTAACTAAAAAAGGAATATTGGGGGAAATTTCTAAGTTGCTGCATGAAGCCGATGCTGCTTGTTACTTGTTAGAGAGTAACTCAGTAGCTGCTACTATGGGTATTTCCTAAAGGTATTCACAGGCTGAGCTCATTTTGATTTTGAGGAAAAATCAAATTAAAAATACAAAACAAACCAAACCAATCAATTTACTATAGTTTAGGACCTATTCATTTTTTTATTTAATAGGTTTGGTTTAGGTTTAGATCAAGCTTAAACTTTTTTTAAGATATTCTTCATAATCATCACTATATATTTATGTTCAGTTGTTCACTAATAATTTTTAACTACTAATTGCTATTTGTAATGCAAAAATCTCTAGAGTACAAAAGAATATAGGTTTTGATTATAAATTTTAAAATTATCATAAACAATTATAAATAACATTTAGCTAATTGCAACATATTTTCATTAATGATTTACAAATAATTAAACTTAGGCAAATTTATTAAAATATATATAATAAATATAATAAGGTTTGGTTCAGTTTGATTTAAATTTTCAAAAGTAAAAGCCTGAATCAAACTGAACAAATTGATTTTGTCAAAAAAAAAAACAAAAACAAATCAAATCTGATCATTTATAATTGATTTTGATAGCTTAATATTAGTTTGATCGATTTAGATTGATTTTTAACAACCTTGTTACCCCTTGTTATCGATATAGTGGAAGTTAGGATGTGATTTGTGTAGGTTGGTATAATAATAACTTCACCAGAAAAAGAACGTGATGATGGTACAATGAGAGAAAGTTAATTAATTTAGTGGATGCTGTACAGCATCACAGAAATTGAAATTAAATTAGCTTATATCTATTGCTCTTAATTCAAACCCAAGAAAGAGGGAGGGAGAGAGATTTTAGGCTAGACAGCATGTGCTTGACAAATTGTAAGTCGTCTTAATCCCGAATTAACAAATGTCACTGTACACTACTGTCGTGTGGCACTGCTCAAGGCAGGGGGCAGAAAGTACGAGAATATAAAGATAACATATGGATATCCAAGTAAATCTTATCCGATAATCGCATCACTGGGGAGAACAGAACAATGCTCTTCGTGTAGGTGGGGCTATCGTCCGTTGGCAAGTGTTTGCATGAATTGGGGATTGCGATAACATAATGGGTTGTTCGACTAAGTGTTGTTATTTACCCAATAGCTACTAGCTGGCCCATATTAATTTTGTTGTTGAATACTATCAACAGACTCTGTAGGTTTGTGGCTGCGGGTCAATGGTAACGAACTCGTCAAAATATAATATGCATTGCCCTTAATTGTTTTTTTGTTTTTCGGATAGAAGGGGGAAAACGGAAAAAGCACAAACAAACTAAAGACTAAAACAGAAGAAAAAACCTAAGGGGGTTCAAAAAGGACGACCCTATAAAAATCATCAGCTTGAAAGTAATGGAAACCAGGTGTCGCATCCAGAGCCCTCTTAGCACATAAATCAGCTTCTTCATTTCTTTCCCTGGGGATGTATTCAACATGCATTCTCTACTCCCGATGTAGCAGCTCGCGTGCCTCTTGAATCTCAGAGTAATATTCATGAAGGTCAATGTCGCCTCCAAGAAGGAGATTCACTGCCTCAGTACAGTCACTATAGAACCCCTTCTCGGATTCCCTTATCCCAAGCAAGTTTTATTCCCATAATGCAAGCCCAGTTCTCAGCCAGTAGGGCATCGCCTTCAGGAAGTCCCATGAGGAAGCCTCCCTGAACGTCGTTATTTCCATCTTTTATAACTCCTCCGTGGCTCACTGATCCTGTACTCACTGAATAGGCACCATCTACAAATATACTACACATATGTGGGGTTCGGTTTGTCCTCTTTATCCGCCGCGGCAATCCCTGCTTTGCTAAATTAGTCCCTCCAATTTTTACTTGATTAGCTTTCATGCATCTGAGGATACCAGTCGCGTGTGCTGCCACCCTTGCCGCATTCATATCCTTATTATGGAAAATAAAATCGTTACGCCTCCTCCACAGAAGCCAGCAAACTATCGAGAACCATGAAGTCCAATCATCCCCTTCTCTGCCCGCATTTGTTCTCAGGTTACATCTAAACCAGTCAACTGCATTCAGCTCGAAGAACCTCACTAAGCAGTCAGGTCGGATCATGCGGACCCATAGATCCTGCCCTTAATTGATTTTGTCATTTTCTTTAACCATAAAGTAGTAAACCTTGACGGCTTTTCAAAGGATGTTTCTTCTTTTCGTCTCAAGGTATGGAATGGCTTGGCGGAAATTTAGTCAATATCTTGTACCATCAAGTTTGCATTGGGTATTTATTGCCTGGATGGGGTTACTTAAATACCTGTTTTAGTTGTCTGTTGAATTTAGATTACCTGGATGGGTTTATACTTTTTGGACTCTAATGGTATTTTAGATTCTCTTTTTGGTAAGCTTAGTTTCCCACTTCCTGTTATGATGTGTCTATCCTGAAAAGTGGTCAACGGATAAGCCATGTAATGGATGATAAAGGGCCAGGACATCGATGTTTCTAATCACGGAGGAAAACAGCTTTATGTTGGGCGTGTGCACAATTCTGTGACTGTAATTCTCTTCCAATTTAATGTTTGTAAACTGACTGCTGAAATTGATAATGAGGCTTCAATCTTGAGAAGCTGAATCATTCATGCCAAATACTGAACCCGGGCAAGAATTTAGCTAGGTTTTAGTAAGACCCTTACTTGTTGCCTGAAATGCTCTAATTGTGTGCATCTTCGAGGATATCCGAAGTTTAATGGTTCAGAAACATTGCTGTTAGAACCAGAGCCTAGAGAAACAGTTTTCCTGTGTACACTGTTAAATTGAAGTGGCCTTTTCCAAGCTTTTGTCTCACGCAATCTCTTCATTTTGAGCTTGATGGTTTGCCTTCTGAATGGACATGATATCTTGATGACTCCGTTGCTTTTATGTAATTTGTTTGTTTACTTTGATTTTGTTGTAATAGCTTTTACTATTGTCCAATTAATAAGTACCACCCAGTGCACGGTGCAGAAATTGCCATCAATTATTCAATTAAGTTGGATCTCAGAATGTTTTGAACATCAATCTGAGTTTCTTCTGCTCACTTTCTGGCTGCCAGTTTCATTAGGGAAATGGCAGCAGACTGGATAATCTACGTAGTACGTGGGTCTATTTTTAATTTTTTTATGTTCTGCATGAATAGATATTTCGTTGCAGAACTTTCCGGAAAAAAGAGAGAAAATTAGTATTGCGCCATATGCTGACTATTTTGTTTTCTTGTTAAATAACATGCAAGACTAACCTTTGCATATCAGTAGTAAGCACTTGTATAGCAGACTTGGCAGGTAATAATTTACCAAGGCTAATTCCTTTTTATTTACCTTTTAAAAGATTATGTTAGTGTCATATCATATCATATATATATATATAAGATCAGAGCAAAGCATCCTTTCTCATTGAAATTAAGTCTTCCCATATTTTTCCCTTTTAAATCTTATACAACAGAAATTAGAGACAGTCCATTTCTACACCTTCAAAAGCTGCAACATGTTCAGGAAAGCAAGGGCAACCCAATCCATCTGAACAGGAGACCATCGCACTTGATTGATCTCAGCCGTCGATTCATAACACATATCTGGCTTCACATCATCACCATTATTATTCCTCGCCTGAAATCCAGTATTTCCCACCACGTCCCAGATCAAAGCCCTCGAATCATCGCCGCAAGAGCAAAGCTGACGTCCTAAGTGTGGGGACCACGATATAGCATTAACACTTCCCTTATGCTTATTTAATTCCATCACTGGTGTGGTTGGCTGCCTAATATCCATTATTACCACTTTATTACTGTCCATTCCAACCGTTGCTATAAACCTTGGATCCCCTTTATTCCATTCCAGGCGTAGCAGAGGGCAATCTTGTGCTGGGTTTTCAAATATTATGGTCGATCTTTCTTTGTCCCTCAAGTCAAAAACTCTCATAGAACCATCCCCAGACACTGAAGCAAATACATTGAAACCACCCCATGATATGTCATACACTTCTTTGTCGTGTGCCACTAGTTGTGTGTCCAGAGCTTCCCTCTCTATATCCCATATGGTACATGTGGTGTCCACGTTTGATGCAGCCACGCGTCCGGTGTCAAACTCTGCCCAGTCGAAAGAGGTTATGGCTGAGTTATCTCTGATTTTGTTGCCGGTTAGGAGGGACTTGAGCTCAATCCGATCGTCGTGTATTTCCCACAGTCTTAGGCAATCTCCGGAGGTGGCGACGATGTCGGGGTTTGTGTCATCCTCGGAGGGAAAGAACATTATGTTTGTCGGAGCATAAGGATGGTCAAAGACCAGATTGGGGTCAGTACTGTAATTCAACGACTCGTGGTTGAAATGAACGAGTTCAACCTTGTTCGTGTGGTCTTCTATGTAACTACCTATTGCAAGGCGGGCATTTTTGTCGCGACGTAGTGACCATGCCAGAGCATAGATTGGCCACTGAGCAACGTGGGTGTGGATCCCTGGTCTTATCTCTACGTGGCCTTGCATGGTCAATCTAGCTTGCTACGAAATTCCTACATGATACATTAACATGTCAAAAGTTAATGTCTAGTTTTCAAGATATATTAATTGTGTTACATGTGCTAGCTACTTCATTTAAATGGCTGCTTAAAATGCACTGAGAGTAACTAGAAGCAGAATGGTGGCGATTACTTATTAGTGGCGACAATTATTGTTATCCTCTAGCTACTTTTCTAGGCACTGTCTCTTTGAAATCGGAAGAAAGGAGGAAGAACAAAGAACAGAGACCAGGACCATCAATTAATCTGCCCATCGTGTACGCTGGTTTGGTTGGTTGTGAATAGTGGAATGTTTGTTCACCTAGCTAGGACTCTTCCCGATTCATAACAGAAATTCAAACTCAGGAAGGCGTAGATAATAAGAAAGGAATGAAAAAAACTAAAAGTATGATTTTTCAAAAGGTCACACGATTGTTTTGTGTTTGTGGTGTTCGACTTCTGAGCAAAGACAAAATTATGTACTTTAATTTTATGAGACCAACTAATAGCTAGCTAGCCCTAGAAATCTCCTGCAACATGAACTCTATGGAGTCAAAGAAACAGTCAGTTCTCTCGCTCGCTATTGAGGATTGCGGGTGAGTTGTGCGAATGACCAGCCACAAGCTAAAAACATCGCTCTAGAAAACCAAATAAATATGGAGTGCAAAAGCAAGGAGCAACAGTACAGAAAATGAAAGTAGATATAACTGAAGAGACAGAGAGTGGAATACACAGTGGAATTGTCTGTCTGAAAAGAGAAGCTAGAAATTAAAATTTCTTACATTGTCAAGATCAGCTGGAGGGCACGGAGATAAGCTTGGTGCAGAGGACAAAGGCGATACTGGTAAGAGAAGAGAGAAAGGTGTGTGTAGGAATAATAATGGAAGGATAAGTGGGAGAGGCAATAAATATGCGTGATGAAGAGCAATATGGTGGGCTTAATGCAGAAGACAGAGAGACAGAGAAGGGAAGGTGGAGCTAATGGTCAATGTTGGCATCTATTTTTTCTTTTGAGTTTGGTCGTTCTTCTGCATCTATCTGCAGTTCAAGCATTTAAACTTATGTACCCTCACCGCCCGCATCCTCGGCAACAATATAAAGGTGGTGTGTATTTATGCACATGCAAAGAAAAAATATATAATAAAGATGGTTTTCATTTTCACCCATATTTTTATACTTCCTCTGTTCAAAAATTTAAAATATTTTTTAAGAAATTATATGTTAAAAAATATAAGATATTTTTAATTTTTTAAGGTGTGATAATTATCTTTTTTAAATGCCCATATTGATAATGACTTTATATTTATTGTAGGGTGTTTAATTGGAATAAATATAATAAAATAGGGTTAATTTGAAAATCGATAACTATTATATTAAGAAATGAGATTCGGTTAAAAATATCTTATATTTTTGAACAGAGAAAATATATTGTATGGTCACCTTTTTTTCCTTAAAATATGTGATACACTGTTATAAGATAACTCAATTTAATTTGTCCCAATAATATTATTGGTCTCTTCAAATTAATTCCAAAGTTTTTGTGACTACTCTCGGACCTAACAGACTACATATGAATATATATTTAGAACAAAGAAAGCGGGAAAAATAAACAAGAGCACTTGTGAATTGATCATCAAAAATATTCAAAATTTAGTTGTTGTTTTAAATTATGGTTTTTAATTGATGATAAAAATTTTAATTATATTTTTTTAAAAAATGTTTGTCACCATATTGAGACTTGCTACGTGGAAGCTCCGTTTCTGCATCCTCAATATTTTAATATTTTTTATTATTAATATGTATTTTTTTATTAGAGACAATTTTATATTTTAATTGTTTTTTATTTCACACCGTGATTTTTACGCGGACTTTTTCAAGGTCTGACTTGCTGATTATACAAATTAATAATACATGATACTTAATTCCTATTAAATCTTTCTTATCAATTTATAAATTATTATTTCTCTTTTATTTTCTTGTTTATTTTTAATTGAATACACCAATAAGTCATTGTATGAAAAACAATAAGTCATTGTATGAAAAATTATCATTTTAAAAAAATACGAAAAATGTTGAGTGTGTGTGTGTCCGGCTGTGAGAATTTTGAATAATTTGCATGAATTTAAATTTTGCATGTAGAATACAAAACTACAAATACATCATTTGAACATTTTGAATTGTGAGTGAACACTTCAACTAACTTTCAAGATTGGAAAATGTCGATAAACTGTTGATTTACATGAGACGATTAAATATAAATGCTTCGTTTATTATGCATCCAATTCCCAGCAACATCATTAACTGCCATGACCCTTACCTGTCACGTGATTAGCTTCCATTGACCTGCTGCACATGGAGACATTGCAACAAAAAATTTTAAATCGCACCCGCTATTTTGAGGATTACAGAGATTTTTTTCCCCTTTTGACCTGAAAGAAATTGATTACATTATAAAGATTTTTTTAATTTTGCATAAATCTTGAGATATCACTGATAAATATCACGAGTTGTTGAAATTTCGTGTCATGCAGGGATATAAATATTAGGTTAAAAACTGAAAATAAACAATGACGGAAGATTTTAATTTTATAAAATATACTGAAGATTTAATTCAAAGTGTAAAAATCATGTTATTAATAATTATAAGTAGTGTGATTTTTTATTGTAAATTATATATATCTATTATTATTATAATAGATAATAATACATACTTCTAGTTCGTGTTTGAACACTTTATCCCCCCTTCAAATTAAGTGAAATAAAAGGAGATTCTATAGTAATACTTTAGTCAATTTATAATAATATCTTACATCAACTGAATCTCTTGAAAGACAGAACACACGCACATGTTATTATTCTATAATAATAATAATGGGGAGATGTTCAATTAAAAAAAGGGACAGGTGATATTTTTTTGGTCGATCAATGCCTTCCACCAAACAAAAATGATAATTTAAAAGATTGACATGTCACGTCAATTCTTCCACATATTTTCATGAAATTTGAATATAATTCTAAAGATAATGTATCTTTGTTTACCAGGGAAAAAAAAGATAATGTATCTTTAATTTAAAAATAAATAAATAAAACAAGAGGCGTTATTGTGTGGGTGTTCGCCTCCTGCTCGCCGCATGCCTTTTCCTTCTCTTATCAGGGTCTGTTTGGCTAATAGAAAGCTTTCCTGAGAACGAAAACGAGAATGATGCATAATGGAACGAAAGCGAGAATAGGTTTGATGGAATATAATAAGTATGTTTGGCTTGTTAGGGTAAGAAATGAATATGTGTACTTGATTGGACAACAATGCTCCTGATATAAAAATATACTAAAGTATTTATTTTAATTTCACATTTTTTAATACAGTGAAAAAACATAATTTTGAATCACTACACGTTATTCAAATTTTATTATAAGTCCTTGTAACTAATTGTATTTTAATTAATTAATAATTATTTAACCCTTCTTTAGTTTTGTTATTTCGTCATGTATAAATATTATTGAGTATATTTAGTAAAGCTATTTCAGTGTAATCTCTTTCAATCTCATGGTATCAGAGCACTAATTTGCTCTCTTCCTCTGCCCTATGGCTCCAACTGATTCACCAAAGTCTTCGTCTTCCACCGTTCACTTAGATCCTTCAAACCCTTACTATATTCACCCCAATGAAAATCCTGCTCTCGTCCTTGTTTCTCCAGCTCTCGATGGTTCGAATTACCATACTTGGACTCGAGCCATGACGATGGCATTACAGTCGAAGAACAAGATAGATTTTGTTATTGGTTCTATTCACCAGCCTCTCTCTTCTGATCCTTATATGCTTCTTGGTTGCGATGCAACACGATAGTGGTTTTTTAGATTACAAAGTGTTTATCACCAACGATTACTCATAGCATTCTTTAGATCGATGATGCTTGTGATGTCTAGAAGGATCTTCGAGATAGGTTTTTGCATGGTGATAAGTTTTGAATTGTTGAACTCCGGGAGGAGATTGCTAATCTTCACCAAGGTGATTCCACAGTCAGTCAATTCTTTACCCGCCTTAATATTCTTTGGGATGAGCTATCCAATTTGTGACCTCTTAAACCTTATGCATCGACTTGTTCTTATGCTGATTATCATACTCATTGAGAAGAGGATTATGTGATTCATTTTCTTCGAGGCTTGAATGATCAATACAGTACAGTAAAGTCTCAGATTATGCTCATGGATTCAATGCCTTCTATTAATCGAGTATTTTCTTTGGTAGTTCAACAAGAATGTGAGATGCAAGGTTCTCAAGATTCCAAGATTTTGTTCACTAAAGGCTTGACTGGTCCTCCAAAGCCATCTAGTTCTTCCTTCACTAGTGGTCCTGTTAACACAAAATTTTACACTTATTGTGGGAAATCTAGACACTGTTGAGACTTGCTATAAAAAGCATGGCTATCCACCAGGATTTAAGCATCGTTCATCCAATTCCTCTGTTTAAACTATTGCAACTCATGTTTCATCTCCTATTGTGGCTTCTCCTTCTGTTGATTCTTGTATGATTTCTGCTAGAGGTCACTATTTTACTACTGAGCAATTTAAACACCTGTTAGCTCTAGTATAGGAGCCTCCTATAAGTTCATCAGATCATCATGTTTCTGTCAATGCTGTTTAGATAAGGGATGGTCCTAATGATCCTTCTTGGATAGTAGATACAGGTGCTATTGATCATGTTTGTTACTCATTAGATGTTTTTACTTCTTATAAGCATATTGCTCTTATATCTATAAGTATGCCAAATGGTTCTCATGCTCTTACTTCTATATCTGGTACCATACATCTCTCTTCTGACCTTGTTCTCCATGATGTTCTTTATATACCCTCCTTTTCTGTTAACATCATTTCTATCTATAAACTTTCCCTTAAATCTAACTGTTCCTCATTTTTTACCATTCCTTTTGCATCATCCAGAGTATTCACTCTTGGAAGATGATTGGTACAGCTAATATTCATTAAGGATTAACATCTATGTAGATAATCGATTAGCTTCAGTTTCTCAACTTACTTCTTCTTCACAGTATTCTACTTCTAATATTTGGCACCTTTGGCTTAGTCATCTTTCTCCCAGCATTACTTCTTTGTTAGCTACACAGTTTCCTTTTCTTAAGTGTAATTCACTAAATGATGTTCCTTGTGATGCTTGCCATTTTGCTAAGCATAAACGACTTTCTTTTCTTGCAAGTATAAGTACCAGTAATAAAACTTTTTCTCTTTTTCATGTTGACACTTGAGGTCCTTTCTTTTTTTCATCTATTTATGGTCATCGTTATTTTTTGACCATTGTTGATAATTTTTCCTGTTTTACTTGGGTACACCTTATGAAGAATAAATCTGAAACCCGTTCTCATTTTTAACATTTTATTTCTTACTGTGAAACACAATTTCTCACTTTTGTTCAAACTATCCGATTTGATAATGGCCCAAAATTTTTGATAACTAATTATTATGCCTTTAAAGGCATTTTACACTAAACTTCTTATGTTGAAACTCCCCAATAAAATGGTATTGTTAAAAGGAAACACCAATATATTTTCAATGTTGCTAAAGTTCTTTTATTTCAATCCCATGTTCCTAAAAATTACTGGACTTATGCCATTTACCTTATTAATAGCCTTCCTTCACCCACTTTACAGAATTGTTCACCATTTGAGCTTCTTTACAATCAATTACCTGATTACAGTATCCTTAAAATGTTTGGCTTTCTCTGTTATGCCTATACTTTGATTGCTGCTCGCTCTAAATTTGACCTTCGAGCTCATAAGTGTGTTTTTCTGGGTTTTCAGCAAGGCACTAAAGGCTACCTCTTATTAGACTTGCATTCTAATTCTATTTTTCTTTCTCGAGATGTTGTCTTCTATGAAATTGTGT